ACTGGCTAGTAACTGATTTTTGCGTTAATTTGATCAAATTTTGGTATTAAAATTGAACTCAATGAAGGAAGTGCATTTATATGAATAAAATTAGTTAGAAATTATGTTTGATATAACCGATCTGTTTTCCTATTTTAGAGAATAAATTGATAGTAAAAAATATATATTAGAAAAAAAAAATCTTTGACACATTATTTATTATATATATATACATATATATTGTAAAATTTATTATTGGGATTTGCAAATTGAAAACCAAAAAACTTTATTTATTTATTAAAAACACATGATAAAATATATATGTTCTCAAACATAATTTTTTTTATTAATATTTTTTATGTTGTAAAAGATAATTTTATTTCTTACACACTTAAAAATATATAGGACTTTCTTTTTTCTCTTATCTTTATATAAACTCCATATACTTTTATGTATACGTAGGAAATAATTTTATTTCTTACAACATAAAAAATATTAATCTTACTTTTTCCCCTAAAACATCTTCCCAAATATATAACAATAAAAATAATTATTTTTCTCCGTAAACATGCGGCCGTAGAACATAATGATTACTACAAACACCCTAAAATCCTAAGTATTTCTAATTTGAATGAACCAAAAGTACTGAGGTTCTGTTTGCGAAGTACTGATGATATGTACAACTAGACCAATGAGAATATTATCTTCCAACAGTTTCTTGTGAATTTAAATTTTTGGTTATTTTTCACTAGCAACTGGCAAGCCACGCGTGTACGTTTCAACTTTCAAGGACCAAAATACGACCACATTTTATCTACCATGAGCTTTCGTGACTGCAAACGTTAATTGAGTTTCAATAATGGGATTAATATTTTTTAGAAATAAAATTATTTTCTATACATATAAAAAAAATATGAAATTCATATGGAATTATGTGAAAAAGAAAAAGAAAAACAAAACATAAATTTTATATTTTTTTATGTCTGTATATCGAAAATAAAATTATGCAAAGTACTCAAACTCAGTAGCCAGTAGCCCACTGCTACTGCTAGTGCCTTATTTAGTTACATTTCAACATAAACCATATGAGTTGTTCGACGTCAAGTAAAATAATTGGTCAGAAATTATCTTTGAGTTACATTTTGTCGGTGCAGGATATTAGTGAGTAAATATTGAGAACTATACAAATCCAAAATATATTTAATTTTATTATTTTTTTAATTGCTTTTCGGATTATGATCTAAATAGTGCAACTGATCACCCTGATTTAATTATCTATTTTTGCAAGTTGAGCTAAAGAGTTAAATTGTGATATCACTGCTCGGGTTTCATTAGTGGTGTGAAAAAAATTGGTTCACTGCTCTGTTCTTGACTTGACCTATAAATATTTATTTTTTTTGAATTATTTAAATACTGACCCACTTTTATTTGAGTCAGTTTTAGACGTGACTTGTTTTAATAATGACTCATTGACCCAAAACTTGACCCATACTTATTATGTGAAAAAAAGAAAAAAAATCACAATTACATTAAAAGAAAAGTTTTAACGTAAAACAATTACGTCAAAAAATTTTACGAAAAAATTTTCAGCAAAAATTTTGGCAACAATTTTTGACGAAAAATATTTTCATCAAAATTTGTGACTAAAAACATTTCTATAAAAAATTTGATGGAAAAAAATTTTTGTCAAATTTTTTTAAAGAATCTAAATTTTGTCAAAATATTTCACAATAAACATATTCAACAAAAATTTTGACGAAACACATTTCTATCGAAATTTTTTTACGGAAAAAATTTTCATCAAAATTCTTTACAGAATCCAAATTTCGGCGAGAGTTTTCGACGGAAACATTTCCGTTAAAGTTTTTGACAAAAAAAAAATTCGACGAAATTTTTAGCAAAACACATTTCCATCGAAAGTTTTCGACTAAATATTTTCGTCAAGTTTTTTGATAAAAAATATTTCCATCAAAATTTTCAACGGAATACAATTCTGTCAAAAAATTTCGTAAAAAATTTCAACGGATAATATATTCTGTCAAAATTCTTTAGAGAATCTAAATTTCGTCAAAAGTTTCAAATGAAACATTTCACTCAAAACAATTTTCGTCAGAACACATTCCTATAGAAATTTTGAACGAAAAACATTCCGTCAAAATTTTTGACGGAATTCTTTTTTCGTTTAAAACCTTTGATGGAGGAAATCATTTTCGTCAAAACTTTTGACGAAAACTAAATTTCGATAGAAAACTTATTTTTGTAAAAATTTTCATAAGAGAAAAAATTTTGTCGCTATTCGACAAAAAGTATTCCGACAAAAAAATAATATTGTTACGAAATTTTCGTCATTTGCAACGTAGAAATTTCGACGAAATTTTGTGAAGAAACCAAGTCAAAAACGGGTCAGGTCGAATTTGACCCACTTCAGAAACCAAGTCAAAAACGGGTCAGGTCGAATTTGACCCACTTCAGAAACCAAGTCAAAAACAGGGAGTTTGACCTACTTCAGAAACCAAGTCAGGTCAGATCCGACCCGGTTCTGAACTAGTTCAAAAAAATTCAAACCAAGTCAGACCTGACTTGGATCAAATTAAAGCGAGTCGAGTCAAAATACCTAACCTATAAAAACCAAGTTGGGTCGAGTCGGCACAAAAACCTGACCCCTAACCCATGCACAGCCTAGGTTTCATCGTGAGAGACTGATTTTGTAACGGGCTCCAACATTGCAACCGGTATTGGGCTAAGAGACAGGAGGAGTTGCTACATCCCAAGAGACTCTCAGATTACATAGTGGGCTAGGAATACTCTAAAAGGCCCATTGGGTGTAATGAATGTAGTTTCCTTTTATTAAAAGGCCCATTGGGTGTTACCTTCCAGATTGTGGGAAATTTTTAAGGTAACACAGTAGTATGTTGGGAAGACCAATCACAAAAGGAGAGAGAAGATGAAAGTGAGATAAAAAAAAATAAATGTAAGTGGCAAAGAAAAAAATAAATGTAAGTGGCAAATTTTGAAAGGAAATAGTACACGCCACGGTGGTACCAAAAGTTTGCTCCAGATTGTGATTGATTTATGTCACGCGTAATGAATGAATGAATGAGGCATGTTTGAAGTGATATCCTCTCTCTTACTCTCTCTCTCTCTCCCTCTTTCTACTCTCTCTCCCTCAAAATTCAGATATCCCTTGTTACAGTTTATGTTATTATTGGTGACACCGACTAATTGGCCGTGCATGCAAGGTTTATTTTCTACATTGTTTAGAGGCCTAAATATAGGTTATTGTTTCTGTAGTTGCTCCATTAATTCGTAAGCAGGTTAAATTGTAAATATTGATAACTCTGAGTAATTTTTGTAAAAATTTAAATTAAATTTATCAATTTAATTAATGATGAGATTAAATTTAACCTATATACTAGTTGTAAATGCGTTGGGTCGTTTGATATCTTCCAACAATTTCTTGTGAATTTGAATTTAATTTGGGTCTTTTTTTACTAGCAACTATAGCAAGCCACATGTGTACGTTTCAAGTTTCAAAGACCAAAATACGATCATGTTTTTATTTGGAGTTTGATTTTCTCATGTTGTTTTAAAATTATTTTTTCATGTTGTGACTCAATTAGTAATGAGCTACACACTTATTAAAAAAAGTTTTGCACGCGAATCAAAAGATCACCATATAAGAAGCCACATGTGTACGTTTCAAGTTTCAAAGACCAAAATACAACCGCGTTTTTATTTGGACTTTGATTTTCTCTGTTACTTTATAATTGTTTTCTTATGTTGTGACAAAATTAATAATGAACTCTACACTTATCAAAAAAAAATTTGCACACAAATCAAAAGATCATGACATAAGAAAATATTTCTCGTGCAACAAGAGTACGAACACATTTTATCTACCATAAGCTTTTGTGGCTGCAAATTTCAGTCATTGGTACGTTTTTTTTTCTGGAATAATCAATACGGTTGGTTGATGAATTTATCATTCTGTCCTGTCTGGATACTTATTATTTTTTTATTTTTTATACAATGATAATATATTATTTATTATTATTTTATACAATGATAACATTGAGCTTTGAATCTATATCCCATGCATAATTAAGCCGGTTATCACTAGTCCGCGGTCCTATTCCTAGTGACTTTGTTTAGTTTTATTACAACATAAACCATATGAGTTATCGCTACACCATTTGCGCATCACCAAATGAGAAGAATATATGAACACTCAAAAGTTGAGGAAACGATTAGCTCTTTTGCATCACTTTCTACAATTCATTTGTTCTATAATTTTGATTAGAAAGCAAGGCATTTTAATACTTTAGGATTAACAATTGTCATGTTGTGGTTATATTATACTTCTCATTGTTTTTTCTCACTTCTTTCATTTGATGAAATGGAGGTCGAGAACCATGAAAAGAAACCAGACAGTGCTTACCCGTGCATGAAGTCAGCTAGCAGCTGAAGCAAAGGAAATTTCATTTCTGGGATTCAGTGTTTGTGAGTTCGAAATAACATCAAGGTTTTGCATATATACGTTAGTCTTAATCGAATAAAATCTCGTCAATTTTAGCATTCATTTTAATTTCAAGAAATCTAGTACTACTATTTTTTTTATATATATTATTATTACTTCTATTCACATTAGTTTTGAATTCTTTTTTATATGTTTCTTACGATTCTGAGTTCAAAACTAATTAATTTCAAGTTAACTGGTCCTTCCTGTATGTACCATTTTCTGAATCAAACATGTATTACAAAGACTGCTTAGTTGTTGAGTTAAAACTTGCTTATTATTATCCTTTGTGAAGAATATAATTTTATTTGGGCTAATGCAAGTATTGCAACTCAGTGCTTGAGTACCACTTGACTAATTCACATCACAATAAATATTAAATCCAGCGATATATGTGGATGCACTCGTATAAATACATATCACTTGCAGATATATGCATAGATCTATGCTTATTGGATGCACTCATAATAGTAAGAAAATACAAGAATTAAATATTGCCATATTGTCACGAGCTAGCAAAATAAGATCTGCGTTGTGAAGGTCTCTTTAAGCCCAACAGGACAAGGAGCAATCCAAGATAATCAAGGTTGTAAGAGACCTCAAGTAGTTGAAACTTATTGAGTGTCCATGGAGGATACCTGTACCAAAAATCAGTGAGGAAACTTCTTCTGGCAATCGCCTTATGGTGGCTGAATGTGTCAAAGGAGAACTTCCCATGGTACATGCCAAACCCACTTTCACCAACTCCTCCAAATGGGAGAGAATCCGCTACATACTGCACAGAACAAAGATAAACAGTAAGTATATAAAGTATGTAAAAAAGATTAGCAGTAGATACTAGACAGGGTACTACCTGTATAATTGCATCGTTGAAAGTCAAGCTGCCAGAAGATGTTTCAGATACCATTCTTCTCTGCAGTGTTTTGTTTTTGGTGAAAGCATAAATGGCAAGAGGCTTAGGCCTAGAACTTATGAATTTAATACTGTCCTCAATCTTCTCCAGCTGCAAATTATTAACATGAAAAAAAAAAGGGGGAACACATAGTGGGAGTTAGAGGAAATAAATAACTATATTTATATATATATATATATATATATATATATATATATATATATATATAAATAAATAAAGCATGTGTTACGCTTTAAGTTAATAAAACTTAGTATTAAGTGGGACGGTAATATTATAATTATGTATTATGGGGAGTATATAATTATAATATGAGATAGGTTATTCTGTCTACTCTTATTTTGTCTATCTTTGCCTATCTCTTTCAATACAATTAGATTACAATTTCATCTAAGGTGAAAATTTACGATATAAAATAAATTCTTTTAGCCCTTTCTCTTTCTTCAATGGTGCTTCAGCATAAAAAAAAGTGCAAGCTTTTTTTCTAATTCATCCAACTCAATCATTGTTATGAGCATTTACATAAAAAATTAAAATTGGGTGTCAAGAAGAAATAAATCCAGATGCCCTATGTTATGGAACCAGGTAGGCTTGTTGTTGGGCGTACCATAGAAAGAACATGGATCTTTTCCCCACTCCCAAGTTGAAAAAACAAGATAAAAAGGAGGAGATAAGTTGATTTGTTTCAAATTTAAACAGAAAAGTAGAAACATTACGATAATCGTGGACTAATTCAAATGAAGGGTTATTCATGGTTTTCGTTTTTTTTTTGTAATTTTGTGGTTTCTGTCGTGTTCAATTATATCAAATTTAAAAAAATTTAAAAATTATACTCATCAACAGAACTATCATGCCATTAATCATTGTATGAATTTAGATTCAAATATAAATTCAGGTTGTAAATTACGCAAATCAATAGAAAGAAAGGGGAGCAGAGAGAGAAGAGTGTGGGAGACAGTGAGGAGAAAGAAAGATAAGAAGAGTTTATTTTATTATGCAAATCTCCACCGTTAGATGAGATTATAATCTAACGATGTTAAAAGAGGTAGGCAAAGGTAGGCAAAATAAGAGTAGACAGAATAACTAATCCCTTATAATATTAAAGGTTTTTTTTTTTTCTCTTTTCAAAAATTTGTCAGCTAATATGAAAAGAAAAAATAAATTTAATATTATAATTAAATATTCTTTGAAATACGTACTTATAATAATAGCGTCGCGTACTAAAATTTTATTCTCTATAAGCTAACTCAGAGAAGTAGTTAGCTATTTTATGGAGTGCTACTAAGAAAAATATTGAAATTTTAATGTCACATGTCCATGCAAGAATCTTACAGTAATAATTGGAAGCAATGGGCCAAATATTTCCTCTGCCATGATTGCTGCTTCAAGTGGGGGATTCACCAGGATTGTCGGCTCAATAAATCTGAAACAGAGTTGAGCACATGACTTTTTTTTATTTTTTGCCATGTAAATCTAGTACTGTCTGTGCTTTCTTAAAAGTGAAAGAGTCAAGTGGGGTATAATGTCATGCAATTAATGCGGCAAAATCCATGCGCCACTAAATATAATGAAAATAGGAATATTATGCTAGCAACAAATGAGTGAAAAGGGCGGCGGCGTGTTAGTTACAAGTTTTCTTCGTCCATTGAGCCACCATAAACAGCAGATTTATTGACCTCTTGATCAGCAAGAAGATTCTTCAATCTAAAGAAGTGATGTTTATTAACTATCCTCGCAATAGTGTTGGAATGCTTTGGGTTCTCTCCAAACATTTTCTTGATCCAGACCTTCATTAATTGTACCTAAAAGAAACCAAGAGTAAGCACACGCCCCTAGTTAAATATATATAGTAGTTGATCAAATACAGGGGAGTGATTTGTCTTGTGTGACTCCCCAAATATAGGGGATTGAAATTCAACATAAGAATTCAATCTGTTCCTGCAGATAGAAAAAACGTGGCTTTCAACCTTTTTTTTCTTTTTCTTTTTTAAACTTTCATGGGACCCATGTTATCATGTTTGTGCAGAAATGATTTGACATTTTTACGTAACATAAGAAACTTTAAACTTTAACCCATAAATATAACTTCACCGGTTAGTTTAAGTTTTTAGGTTAAATTAATTATTTACGTATTATCAGATTCTCTGTGACCAAATAGTTACGAGCTCGATCATCGTCATCCTCTATTTTCTTTATGAAATTTTTCAGTACAGTATAGCTATGTTATGCATATGATATATTATTCATCATTAGCCCAATAGACTATTTTGTGAAGAGATTTGTTAGACATATATAAAATCATTAATATAGAGTTGGAATTGATTCTTTTCTAGTATATGTACTCTAACCAAGTAGATGTACATAACATCAC